CCAGCAGTGGATTGAACAGGGCCGATGCTGAATAACTACGATTGTATTATACACTATTGCTGTCGTTATTAAAGCACGTGCATGCGAATAAACTTACCAGCGTTTAATTAAGCACACAAATAAACGTGCACAAGTATTATTTTACGTTCAAAATAATACAAAGATGCGTACGTTTTGGTCGCACGCACGTAGTGTAGTATACATCATGTACAGGTGGGTGCGCCCCTTTAAGGCTGAGACGACCTAGGGGAGGAGGTAAATGACTCGCCCCTGATGTCAGCCGTCGTCCGGGCTCGGAGCGCACTGCGCTGACAAAGACAAAGATCTCCCGTCTAGCCGCGACAACATTTTTGGGGCAAGTGCTGTTAGCGAGCACCTATGAAGGCTGGCGCAACACACGAGAAGGTGAGTGGCCAGTATCACGCCCGCCCGCCTTTGTCTCCCCAGTGGCAATGTTTATCCATCGCACCAAGTACTCATTTGAATCTGATCCGACCTAGGGGAGGCCCAGGAGCGATTCAATAATCGTCACTGGATGTTGGTGGCCGTGAGTGGGAATCGAACTCGGGTCGCCGGGTTCGTAACGCAATTCTCTGACACAACAAAGATCCCCCGTATAGCCTTAACAGGCTGTCGGGGCAAGTGCTGTTGAAAGCCGGCACGGCACACACGAGGGGGTGGGTGGCCAGTACTCACACGCACGCACGCACATACATACATACGAACATATACACACGGAGACAAAAGAAAACAGATGTAAAAACACATAATTTACGTGTACATGTACGGCTCTTTTCGTGAACCCACTGCTGGATGACGGTCATTGGACCATATATAATACACGCGCACATAACACACACACATCATACACACCACAGATATGCATTATTATATACACATTATGAAAGCTATCGATAAATGCTAATTCTAATGATTTAGACAGCAGCGTTTATGCTTAAGGACAGTTCCGAAAACCATTTATTTCCCCGAACTTTTCGGAATTCGCCAAAAAAAATTCGCAAACAGAATTTATAGCCGTACACTGTCCACGCAGCATCGCGTTACAAACTCTACAAAGGAGGCAGCAAGCAGCAGTCAGGGTTGAATGTAGGCCTCGCAAGGTAAGGTAATTTACCATTGTTACCGGGTAAAATGGTAAAGGTAAAGGGTAAAGGCGTCGACATGCCAAGGGGTAAGGTAAAGGGTAACAGGGTAAAGGTAGCTCGGAAGAATTACCCGGTAGGGTAAAGGTAGCGCGAGGTATTACCCGGTAAATACGGTACCTTGTTTACCGCTAGAAGCTCTGTGGCGCAGTCCGTGGCCTCGATTTAACAAGTAATATTTTTTTAAAAACACGCTTTTATTAAATGTACGAGTAATGGCAGAACTCCACGACTCCAGGAAGTGGCCCCGAGGCTTGCCACAACGTAAGGGGCCGTGGTGATTTACAGACAACGCCAGTTGAGCGTCGACAATTAGACCCAAGCCGACACATAACATATACAAAAGAATGTTAAGAAATATATATTTGTTTAATGATAGAATATAGTATTGTCATCAGTATGATATAAGTATACGAAGTTTTCAGTCGATACCACATTAGGAAGTGGTAAAAACGGAGTTGCAAGATTTGAGGATACAACGACGACAACAACAACAGACAGAGTTAATAGAAAACGTGTAAAATTGGAATCATCGAGAGTATTCTATATGTATAAAGCGCTCTACCTGGCATTTACCGTTATAAACCTTGTTCATGTGTAGTAGTACCCCAGTAATTACCCTGTAATCGGGTAATTTCTATGGGGTAAGGGTAAAAGGTAGGGTAAAAGGTAGGCTCGTTGCTTTTTACCTTACCTGCTGAAGGGTAAAAGGTAGGGTAGAGTGATTGTATTGTGGTAAGGTAAAAGGTAGGGTAAAGGTAGGCTCGTTGTTTTTACCTTTTAACTTTTACCTTACCTTGCCGAGGCCTAGTTGAGTGGCTGTCACCTGGAACAGGCGAGTCAAGTGACTTTGCCCGGCTTTCTATCGGCTTTGGCGTTACACTCGACGAGAGGCGAATTACTTGGTCCACTGAGTGATAAGAGATCGCTTTATACGTGACGCCGATCCACATACACACATGCACACGTGTACACGCACACACGGATGGAGAGCACTTAAACATAAATACAGACATATACTCACACACGGATAGAAATAACCCGTGGCGGCTCAACAGGCTGTAGGGGCAAGTGCTTTTAGCGAGAATATATTAAGGCCGGATCAGCACACGAGTGCTACCATGCCCGGCCGCCTTTATCTCCCTGGTGCTGATGTCCAAACACTACGCCGGGTACTCGCTTAAGGCTGAGTCTACCTAGGGGAAGTCTCTGATTATCACTCGCTACTGATCTTGGCCGTAGTCGCGAATTGTGACCAGGTCGCCTGGTTTGTAGCGTGACACCGCTCCATATAGACACATCTATACATAAACACAGCGATACATACAAACATACATTATAAAGCAAAGGTATTCAAATAAACACATATACATACACATTCACACATATACTTGGATACGTATGGATATACAATACAAAGATATCCCGTATAGACATAATAGATTGTCGGGGCAAGTGCTGTGAACGATATTTACACACCGCACCAGGCACTCATTTGAGGCTGAGTCGACCTTGGAGAGGCCCAGGATCGGTTCAAATAATCGGGTCGCCTGGGATCGTGGCGCAGCGCGCTAACTGCTACACTACCACTCCCCACGTGCACAGATGTACAGAGAAACATAAACGCACAACATCGCCTGGACTCCCTTTACACATCACATTTCTCGGTTGAACAAAACGCGTTACGCTCATCCGTTACAATTTTGACAGTGCTGCTTGTTCCTGGCCGCGAGACGTTTTGGGCCAATAGGGTCTGTGCTCGACAACTGTGTTTAACATTTTTGTTTATGCATAATACCTACAAATACACACCAGATACATCGATCATCGTAGACATACGCATAGCAGTACACACATATATATATACAGATATGAATATTCACACGGACACATGGCCTACGCATACACGCAGACTCAAAGCAACACACACGCACACGACTTCCCTTTTCTCACCTTGTACTGCTGTCCTTTGTCTGTAATGTTTGTTGTTGTTGCGACTTGTTGACCCGCCCCTACCGGGCATCTTTGAAAAAGAGCTTCAGAGCTCATCGGATTCCTCCATGGCAGATAAAGATTCTGATATATTTATTTAGAACACACACACACACACATACACAAAAATAATTTACATACAAACATAACGACCGGGACAAAGATAATCCCCAAAACGTATGAAGCCCGATGTGGGCACACGAGGAGGTGGTGTGGTCAGGCCACCTTTGTCTCCCCAAATGCTGTTTACAAGATACAGCTATACTGTACTTATCTAATGCACAGCCAATCTAAAATGGGCTTAGGACCGGTTCCTATAATCGTCACTGACGCTATCCGCTATCGGATGACACGCACGTACACACACACACACGTGGAGATGTGTGCTAATATTGAACGGCAATCAAACTCGGGGTGGCTGGGTTCTTAGCGCAATGCGCTAACCACTGCGCCACCACCCCACACGGTTCTAACATTCGGACTCCAACTGTTCTTATCCACCGAACTTTCAATTCACGTCCTATGAAGAAGGTCCGTTGTCTGAAACGTCGCCGATTTTATGTTTTACTTTTAAGGCAACGCAAGTGTTATCGAGTAAAAAAAACACAAGTCGCCTTTACGGATTAAAGTCTGACATCACGTAAATACTTTTGGGGCAAAAAAAAACATACAACTACAACACCTATTACAAAAACAAACAACATCTATTACAAAAACATACAACTACAACACCTATTACAAAACATACACAACTACAACACCTATTACAAAAACAAACAACATCTATTACAAAACATACACAACTACACAGCCGTCGTTCGCCACTCAGGTGGCGGTGACGTCCCCATACACTTACCCTCACGTACACACATATGTGTGTACCCTCACGTACACACATATGTACACACCCACGTACATAGGTTGAACGCAGACATACGTACATGAAGAATGCTAATACACACATTAAAACAATATTTGACATGCACAAACAGACGCACAAACACACGGAAATACAAAGATTCGCCACCGTTTAGGTTTTAACAGACTGTTGGGGCAAGGTTCTGTGAGCGAGTAGCGGATGGTGGTGACTCGCACCACACCCGACCACCTTTGTCTCCCCAGTGCTGATATTTACCCATCGCACCAGGTACTCATTTGAGGCTGAGTCGACCAAGGGGACGCCGAGGAGCAGTTCAGATATTCGTGACTGATGTTAGCCGTGAGCGGGAATCGAACTTGAGTTGTACCGCAGTGCGCTCAACGCGACAACACACGCACACACGCACGCACACACGCACACACACGCTACAACACACACGCACACACATACGCTACAACACACACACGCACACACGCATACGCACACACGCACACGCTACAACACACACGCACACACACACGCGTACAAAGACATCGCCTTATCAGCCTTTTGGGGCAAGTGTTGTTAGCGAGCATCTGTGAAGGCCGGAGATCGCATGGATCGAACTCGGGTCTATGGGTTCGTAGCGCGGCGCCCTCACCACTGCGCCACCGCTCCCAAAAGTGTACATACACACACACATAGTACGCATACACACGTAGTCGTCGCACACACACGGTTTGGAACACATACCCATAGTATACACACGTAAAACGGCACACATACGTACGCATTATACAAGTAACATAACCCCCGTATAGCCTCCATGCGCTTTTGCGGCAAGCACTGTCAGTGAACACTGACGAAGGACTGAAAAGGCGGTGTGGCTGACACCGCGACCGATCGCCTTGATCCTTCTACACACACGTAGCGTGCACAGACGCGTGTGCATGAATGTGAGCTCTCGCAAGATGACTGTCTCCTACCTTCACATCAAGGTCCAAGCTCGAACCGTTGTCCACACTGGAGCAAGCGGACGAGATGGCAACGGACTTCTGGCCCGTAATGTGTACACAGTCCGCACGTTCGCCAAGTCGGTCCGTACCTCCGTTAGAGTTGTTTTTTTATTCCTCCCGTCTGCCTGTGTCTTCGGGGCTGTCGTCTTCCTTTCCGTTTGTCCGTCTGCCTGTCCGTCTCTATGTATGTCAGTCTTTCGACCCGTCTGTTCCGTCCTTCTGTTAGTCCGTTTAATATTCCACTGTTTGTCAATCGCGCTGCAAATGCTATACCACACAAGCCACGTCACAACAACAACATCAGCAATAAGAATCACTTACACGTATCGCAGACGGACATAACAACACCCTCTGTCTCTCTTCACCCTAACAGCAGCAATAGTAGTCCACGCGTGCGACACACACGCAGACGCACGCACGCACGTGCACTCAGACACGGGATAAATCCCTGCAATCCCTCCACTACCAATTCCTCCCACAGGGTCGGTTAAACGACGATCACGCGCGTGAAGCCAACGTCGGTTGTGGTGGTGCGCAAACTGGACTGGTCAACTCTTCAGACACCACCACAACCCACCTCCTCCAAACATCGCCATCAGCTGTTCAGCAACGCTGCCTGTAAGCCACGCCCCTCTGCGGTGACTGGCCAATCGCGTTGTCAGGGCTCCGTAGCGGGCGGGGTCAGCAGCAGGCTAGCCCCTCCCACAGCCCCCCCCTCACCCCTGTCTCACCTCCAACCCCCCCCAATCCCCCCACCCCCCTTAATTTGACCAATTCCTCTCCACATGCCTGTGTGTATTTTATTTTATACCTACGTGACTTTAGCAAAAGAACCAAAGAGTAAGGGAGGGAATGACTGTGGCCGAGAAGACCCGAAGCTTCGTGCGGAGGGACAGACCAGGTAGCTTCCACACAGCGTTACGCAACTGATGAAAAGATAATGCCGCTCGACTGATTCGGAGTGAGACCTCTGCTGTTAAACCGGAGCCGAAAGATCTGGACAGAGTCCCATCGGTGAGCTCCTCCGGCAGGCAAGGCTGCGTGGCTGGGTCATGTAGCCCGCATGCCCAGCCGCCGCATGCCTAAACAGCTTTTGTTCGGCCGGATAGAGGGGGCTAAACGGGCGCGGCACGGGCTGGAGAAGAGATTGAGTGACGTGATACAGGAGGATGTGGAGCTGAGTGGACTTGCCGATGACTGGTACCAGCGGTGTCAAGATCGGCCTCTGTGGAGGAGGCTCGTGAAGGACGCTGCTACTGGGCAGTTGGAGGCAGTCGCCCTCCAACAACAACGGAAGGCGGAGGAGCGACGCTCACAACAACGAGCGGAGCGCCGGGTGGCTAAAGCACAGCAAGTTGGCACAGTAGGGGGCACAGGTGGTGCATCGGCCAGTCATCTCAGTCAGTCAACCCGTGGCACCTGGTCTGCTCTGTGACCTGCTAGCGGGCGTTCGACACTTCACGTGGCCTCAAGGTGCAGGTAGCCTGGCACAAGCGTCGTGGTGACGTCACCGCCACTTAGTGGCGAATGTTGTGTTGGAAGCGGTAGTGCAACGGTTAGCGCGCTGCGCTACGAACCTGGCCACTCGGTTTCGATTCCACCAGTGACGATTGTCTGAACAGGTCCTGGGCCTCCCCTAGGTCGACTCAACCTCAAATGAGTACTTGGTGCGGTGTGTAAACATCGCCACTGGGGAGACAAAGGCGGTCGGGCGTGGTGCTGGCCACCCACCCCTTCGTGTGCCGTGCTGGCCTTCATAGGTGCTCGCTAACAGCACTTGCCCCACCAGTCTGTTCAGGCTATTCAGGGGATATTTGTCTTTGTTGCGGTGGCCTCAAGGTGCACCGAGCCTGGCACAAGCGCCGTGGAGAACGGGGGCGTGGGAAGCGGTGTTTGCGCTACGGACTCAGCTAAGATGCCGAGTTAGATTCCTGCTCACAACCAATAAGAGTGGCGATCACTGTATTTGAAGCGGTCCTGTGGGGCGTCCTCGGGGTCGACTCAGCCTTAAATGAGTACCTTGTGCGGTGTGTAAAAACATGAGTTCTGGAAATACAAAGGCGGCCGGGTGTGGTGTTGGCCACCCACCCCGTCGTGTGCCGAACACCCCCTTATAGGAGCTCGCTAACAACTCTTGCCCCAACATAGCGTTGAAGGCTACACCGCGGGTCTTTGTCTTTTGTTTTGCGGTGTGCTTAGATCAGCACTGGGAAGACAACGGCGGCCGGGAAGGGGTGTTTTTTTCGGCCATACCACCCTCTCGTGCGCCGTGCCGCCCTCAACAGCACTTGCCCCAATAACCTGCGTAGGCTATGCGAGGGATCCCTTGTGAGTGTTAGGGGGTGTATGGGTGCATGGGTAATTTAACGAGAGTGTGGGTCAGTGAATGAGTGAGGGTGCGGGTTTGCGGTGAGTGGGTTATTAAGTTTGGTTTCTCGGTTGGCGAGTGTTTGTGAATAAGTGTGTCAGTGTGTTGGTTATTGAGGGAGCGTTGTGTGTGCGAGATAATTCGTGACCGTTTGAATTTGTGTGTGGATGATTTCGCGAGTGTGTGTACTTATGGGTGAGTGCGTGAGTTAGGGAGTGTTATTCATCGGTGAGTCTGTGCGATTTGGTGATTGCGTGAGTGTGTGGGTTTTTTACTGTGCGAGTAGGTGAGTTGTTGAGCGAGTGGGTGAGTTAGTGAATGTGCCCGCGATTTCGTGTTTATGCCTGTAGATGGTTTGCGTTTCCTGGATATTCTTGCTCAATCGGTCACCTGAAGATATATGATTCCAAACATCACCTCACTGCATAACACACAGCCTTAACATGGTAAACAACACGTCATTCAATCGGATAGAATCGGAATAGTGTTGTCATACTTGGGCTGGATCACCAGTCCCTATCTCACTGCATTTGATTGCATTTAGAGTGATGATCTAGTAACTCACTAATTAATTCCAGTCACTTGCTCACTCACCGGCGGCGATTCGCCTCCTTGTTCTGTTATCACTATTATCAACGGTGACTGTTTCCACGAACTTTACTCATTAATTCCTCCACCCATGTTGAGGACTCGGTCTACCCGACACCGTTTCGTCTCATCCACAGTGTACAACCACCACAATGCAGGCTAACACAACTTACTTACACACCCACTGCAGATCACACTCACCTACTCACCAACTTATTATACCATTCACCCACACACTCGCCCACACACTCACTCACCCACTCACTCACTCACTCAACCACTCACTCACTCTCCCACTCGCTTACTCACCCACTAACCCACACTCAAGGCCGTCCATATGGGGGTGCGGGGCTCGGAGCATCTCAAACCGTGTGGGTCCCCCGACGCCTTCAAACTAAACCGCAAGTTTTACATCTAACATCGTGATGTCGAAGCGTTCCACCGCCCCCCCCCCTAAAGCGAGGGGGCCCCCTAAAGCGCGGGGCCCCGGGCGGTCGTCCCGATTCGCCATACCCTAGGGACACGTCTGCCCAAACTTTTCTTTCTGCCTTCTTCCCTCGCACTGCTCGATTTTTTGGAATTCCTTCCCATCGTCTCTTTTTTTCCCAAGTTCTCATGATAACAGTAATACACTTGGTCAACTCACGAAATGCATAAACTCGTATCTATGACACCTTCAATGGTGTTGTTTGGTGCTGGCCGCTTTGCGCTTCGGGCACGTATTCAGCAAAATATGATTGAAAGAAATATACATATATATGAAAGAATAAGAATAGGTTTTACCCTTTCTGGAAATAAAACAGGTGTAAGATGTTTAAACACCAAATATAAACCATTTGCAATGAATCATGTCTGCTTTAACCACACTGATTGGGCTACACATACATATATTGGTCCAAATTTGTAAAATTTGTGTGATCGGATTTTTCTATCTATAACTGATGAAATGTCACAGTTCCTATCCTTCGAGAACATCATCAGAATCTGCAGCACTCCGCGCATGTGAAAGACATCATCTCGACCGTTTAAGAACAGGAAGTGGGCATGGGCACATGACACGTCGCTGGAAGGGATGATGACCGCTGGTCAAAGCTAATTACGCAGCAGCAACCAAAGGAGGGAAAACACGCCAGATTGTACGCACATTGCGTATATATTTGTGTGTCTGTATGTGTGGATGTATGTGTGTGTAGGGAGCGATCGAGTAGTGGTTAGTGGGCTGCGCTACGAACCCGGCAACTCAAGTTCGATTCCTGTTCACGGCTACCAACACCAGTGACGATTATCTGAACCGGTCCTGGGCTTGCCCTAGGGTCTACTTAAGCTCAAATGAGTTCCTCGTGCAGTGTGTGAACATCGCCACTCGGGAGACAAAGGCGGTCGAGCTTGAGGCTGGCCACCCACCACCTCGTGTGCCTCTCCAGCCTCCATAGATGCTCGCTAATACCACTTGCCCCAACAGTCTGTTAAGGCTATACGGGGGGATATTTGTCTTTGTATAATTTATATCAGTCGCTCAGCTCTCCAGCCCTTCTAGAACATCATTGGAATTGACATCAGCCACTCAGTCACGCTCGTCCGTTTGCGATACACACGCCCCAGTGCTCACAACCACCACGCGTTCCTGAATCTTATCGCGAAGATTGCGTGCAATTATCTCGAGTAGATAAAAAAGTAAAAAAGGTCAGCATCACGGCCATTGCCGTGGAGGCCAGACCACACCCCGCCATCGCTTCCTTCCTTCTGCTCGTATCACCGTTCTCGTGTCTGTGTATGATGTTGGCCACCCACCCCCTCGTGTGCCGTGCCGGACTTCATTAGGTGCTCGCTAACAGCATTTGCCTTGACAGTATGTTAAAGGCTACACCGGGGATCTTTGTTTATAGGTGCATGTGTGGGGAGTAGTAAGTTTAGCGATTAGCGCTCTGCGTTATGAACCTGGTCACCCGAGTTCGATTCCCGCTCACGGCTACCAACACCAGTAACGATTATCTGAATCGGTCCTGGGCCTCCCCTAGGTAGACTCAACCTCGAATTAGTACCTGGTACGATGTGTAAATATTGCCACTCGAGAGACAAAGGCGGCTGGGCGTGGTGCTGGCTACCCGCCCCGTTGTGTGCCGTTCCATCCTTCATATGTGTTCACTAACAGCACTTGCCCCAATAGTTCTGTTAAGGTTACACGGGGGGTCTTTGCGTGTACTATGACCGTGCTGCATAGACGCGCAGTTTCAAAACATCTCCCAAATCGTTGCAGCAATCACTGGGTTCCCAGAAACGTATTTAATCAACATCTGCGTCACACACGATAGATTGCGCTATGATGGGAGTACAGCAAGTAGGTTCGCGGGACCCGGCGGTAGGCCTGGAGCCGAATGTGAGCGTTCTTCTCGAGTCATGCATGCGAGTTTCTCCGGTAAATCCTTACACACGGAAATACATACATACAGTATATATACACACACGCACATAAAAAAGACGAAGATGCCCCGTGTAGCCTTCAACAGACTGTTGACGAGTGCTCAGCACACGAGGGGGTGGGTTGCCAACACCACATCCGGGCGCCTTTTTCTCCCGAGCGCT